GTATTTTTATCTCTGTAAACTAAGGTGTTCAAAATTTCAATGATGGACTAAACCTTAGTGAGTGTTGTAAACCTATGTATCCTCTCCATGAGAGTAACCCAAATACTCAAACACAAGTCTCTGTAAAACTAAGGTAGCAAACCTTAGTGAGTGTAAGAAATTCTCAATCCTCTCTATAAGAGTTAACTATACACTCAAACCCGACTATACATTTATCAGTTGTAAAGCCTGAAGAGGCTAGGAAAAGAATACTTGTAAAGCCCGGAGGGGCTTGTCAAAGAATACTTACTGCTAGCTAGAAGTGGTTGATAAGAAAATACTACCGTTGGTGAGTGAAGCTAACGGGCCAGGAGTGGTCGAGAATACTTGGAGAACTAGAAGTGGTTTAAGAATACTAGCGCTAGTGAGTGAAGCTGGCAGGCCAAGAGTGGTTGAGAATACTTGGAGAACCAGAAGTGGTTTAAGAATACTAGCGTTGGTGAGTGAAGCTGACGGGCCAGGAGTGGTCGAGAATACTCAGGGCTAGGAGTGGTCGAGAATACTCAGGTCCAGGAGTGGACGATAATACTCAATGTTCTTCATATTGATATCTAGTGGAACCCTTCAATTAAAGGAGACTGGGCGTAGCTCAGTTGAGCAAACCAATATAAAATGATTGCATTACTTTTCCTGCTTAACTAGGAACAAATCTTCCTTACTGAGTAAATCCTTGTGAAAAACTTCGTCCAATATTTACATACAATTAAAACCAATTTTCAGACGAAGATGCAAGATCGTTTAATAGATATATTAGACTGAAAAGCTTTATTTACTGCTTGTCCTTAAACGAAACTATCTTGAAAAGGAAATGTAAGAACTTCAATATTTATCATTATGAAACATTTTCCTTGGCAGATGATAAACCCTTCAGACGCATTGATCATATGTTAAACAAATTTTGCCTAACAGTCTGACATTTAAAAGTTCATTGGACGAAGAACATTACTCTTGTAAAAATAATTTGAAAATTCCTTCATACACTGTAGACCCCTAAAATTGTCCGGGTTGGAAATAAG